TGCTGCCTGTAGGAAGGTGGTGAGGCGGGAGGGGAAGGAGAAGCACAGCGGAAGGAAGGTGGACTCAAGTTCAACAGATTTGTCCCAGCTCTGCCTCTTGCCAAAAATGGAATCTTGGGCAAGGTTTTGACCCACTCTTAACCCTTGATGTCAGAGTTACGATTTGAACCTACGTCTCTGAACTCTATGTTCCAGGTTCTTTCCAATGTTATTAAGTCCCAAGGCCACTTCCCAGCCCTTGGCGCCCTCAGCACCTCCTCTTTCTTTCCTTTCCTTCCTTTCCTGCAGACCCTAGATGTTGCCTGCCTACTCCTTCCTCTACCCGCTCTTGCTCCAGCCTGGTTTTGCCATTAAGATAGGTGCCATTCCTGTTTCCTCCTTTCTACCTCTTTCCTCTAGATAGCTAGGCTCCATCCCCTCTTAGATTTTGTCCCACAAACCTTTACAAATTGCAAATGGGCTCTGTGTCATTCTTCCAGAGCCTGGTGTCAGACCATCTGAGCACACTGGTGCTCAAGTCACTTTTAGGTCCCACCCCAAAATTTGATCTATCACAATACATCTTTGAGTTATTGCAGCTCGAGCGTTTTGACACGATACATTATGGTAATCCATGGCACATAGAGACATTAACACTCCCGACTTTGACAAAATACATTGTGAAGTCTTTGAAGGCACCATTACAATTTATCTTGTCATTCAGGAGGAGACCCAGTTCAGCATTAATGTAGATGAACACAGTGTGGCTTTTGTTTCATTTAATTGCTTGTGACCTTTTTAATTGCTCATTTAACAAAATACCAAAGGGTTATGTTTCAATTAAATTAACACTTTGGGAGTGGTTTTTTTAATATGTTTATTTCTAAGACATTCTGGTTTTCTCTCTCTTTTTTTTTTTTTTTTGACTTTGAGTAGATAAAAATGTCTTCTCTTCAACAGAAGCGGGTTTTTAAATGTGAAGTTGCTTTTTGTAATAATTTTAACATGCAAATGGTATAGTGCTGATATATGGTTGGGTTCATTCCTTTCTGGAAGGATACAAACAGTAAAGGTATACATGCAAAGTCTTTGAACTTTTCTCCTCCAAAAACATGCTTTTGGTATAATGCTGTGCTTCAATATAAAGTATCTGTTACATGCACCATTTATTGGGTACTTATCTCTGCCTTGTACTCTTTTCTTTGTGTTCCTAATAGCAAGTCTGTAAGCTCCTAAAGATCAGGAACCCTGCCTTATCCTCACCAGTGTGCCTTCATAGTCTAGCATCCTGCTGGTATGGGGAGAGTCGTTGCAGGTTATATGGGTGACTGATCTATACACGCACACATGCCCCCTCCAAGCAATGGCACTCCTAAGCCTACTTGGAAAAACGGCTGTGTAATTCCGAGACCAGTTCATCAGATGACCTGCTTGGGGGTGGGCAGCATGTACTGGAGGCGAACACAGAGATCTTCCTTCCTTTCCTATTCTCCCAGGTGCTGTTGCCCTTTTAATCACAAAAGCAAACACGCCGCTTGTCATCTGGGGCAAGGCTCAGAATTTACCCAAGTATGAGGGGGGGCTTAAATCCTCAAATGGGATATGAATTTACACTGTTGGAGAGTAGAAGGTCAATGCAAGAAGCATTAGTGTGTTGAGCCAGCTCCAGCTATGTAAGTCTTGAACAAAATTAATATAAGGAAATTGACAAGCCTTGCTGGTTATTCCATAGCTTTAAGACCTCTACTAAAATCCTATCATCTCATCTGCCCATTATTAACATTTCAGCAAAATATAAAGTTTTCATTAATCTCCCACAGCAAATTTAGGAGTGAAAACTGGCACTTGTTTGAGCTTTTAGGACTACATTAGCTGGTGTATTAAACAAAATATGTCATTCTTCAGTAGCTTCTGTAAGAAGCTAAATCAATTTCCAGCCATATTTATGCACCACTTTATCTAAAAGCATCTGAATTATCATTTACAGCTAAGATGCTTTATTAGCAGCTGGCATTGAAATTGCTCAGTAAAAAATTATATGTCACGTTATAGTAATTTTTAAATTGGTTTTAATCCAACATCATAAAATGTAAAACTCTTAAGTGTGGGTTTTTGGGGGTTTTTTTCTAGTAATTGGCATTTTAGCATAATGAGCTGTTACCCCTTTCCAAATCAAATACCTGCAATATTTAGAAAATACTAATTAGTAAAGAAAACAGAAGTTCTTGAGCTAAGTTGTATCTAATAATGGCATTTTCTCAGATAAGATGGCTTTAACTGATTTTTAAAACATGAAAGGATTTCAGTATTTCACCAAAATTCTCCACAACTCTCGTATTTAAAAGGTTCTAAAAATAGAAATAAACATATCTCCGCAGTTCTGTTTCAGTGGAGTGTGTATTGGGGAAAATGAACGATTATTTGAAATTCTGTAAATTCTAGCCAGCATCTTGGTTTAAGAGATGGACATTACCCAGAAGACAGTAGTACTTGCAATGATGGCACCTCTGTCCAAAATTACAGGTGTCCCAAAGAAAGCTAGCAAGGTTACCTAATGGCCCTTATAGATGTTGAGTGCAACTCTTCTGATCCTAGTGAGGTGATATTGGTTAAGTCATTCAGCCTCTCTGATCTTCACCTTCTTGTGGACATGGCAGCTGTATTCATCCAGTAAATTTTTATTGAGCACTTGCTTTATCCTGGGCACTAACAGGATCTAGGCTATAATGGTGAGTAAAGCAGTCACTCTGCTTGCCCTCTTGGGGCAGAGACAGATAATGACTAGCTGTGACAGCATTCTGCAGGAAAATGCTGGGTGCAGTGTCGAAAAGAGCTGTACTAGACTTGGGGGCCCGGGATCAGGGAAGCTTTCCCTGGAGTGTCACTTGAGCTAAGTTCTTCAGGAAGAATAGGGAGGAGACCTGGAGGAATAGGTCAGGAGAGAATGAAGTGGGGAGAAGGGTGACCTGGGCAAAGAAGACAATATGTGCAGATGCTCAAAGATGGGACCATATCACGGACATTCAGTGAATGGCCCATTAAGGGTGGGGCTGCGTCTTCACTGTGGGGAGAGCATTATTGTAGGGGCTGGAGTAATTTTAGCTGGGAATAATTGCAGGGTTTGGAAATCGAATGCACAATTCCTAATAAATGAGTCTAGTGTAAAGGCATCAGAAACCAACTTTGACTTAAAAGCTTACCTTGTAAGCAATAACTGTGGGAAGGAAAAGCATGCAATTGTTAGGCTGCCAGTTATGTAACAGAATTTTCCCATTTTATACCCAAACCTCGAGTTTTCCATTCCTCCAACTCTGTCCCAAGGAGTTCTGTCTGGGTTCCCCTGTGGGCCATCTCTGGGTGTTCCACACAACAAGGCTTAGGGCACCTGCTCTGGTCGGCCTCTGCTGCACAGATGCTCCCGTCCCACTGGTGAAGGGCACCAGCAACTGCACCTTCAGAAGACCACAGTTTAAACTCTGGGGGATGGGAGATAATTTAGCTGTGCTTAGTGTGGCCCTGGGCACATGACTCTACTTCCCAAAGCCTCAGATGCCTCATCTGTATGATACAGAAAATCAGTACCCACCGGGTTGAATGAGGCTTAAGTGCATGTGTAAAGTGCTTAGCATTCATACACACTGGTTCTTTATGTTATTTTATTTTATTTTTTATTTTATTTTAATTTATTTTCTTTCTTTAGCAAAATTTAACAAGAGCACACCAGCTGCCTGTAGTGCTTGCAGAAGATACAGAGATGAATGAGAAACTTTACTGATTGTCAAAAAGCTTCCAAATTAGGCCAGACCAACCACTCAACAATTTTAGTGCAAGGTTGAATGCTGTCCTTTATGACAGTAGAATAAAAATAATCGTGACTGCTATTTATTAAGTGTATTTTGTGTTCGATTCTTTAAATATATTTGGCATTCTGTGCATGGTAAAAACGGGGGTTCAGAGAGATAAAGTCACTTGCCCAAGATCATATAGCAAGTTAGAGGCAGAGCTAAAAATTGAATTGAATTTTCTGGCTCCAGGGTCCGGTATAAACCAACTGCTATGGAATTCAGGAAGTGGAGTTTGAGCTGCCCTGGGTAGAGTTTTGACAAGTCCAGGGTAAGGTTGGATGGGGGGTGTTCTAGGCAAGGGCCCAGAAGTAGAAAAACCTGGACTTGTGTGCAGTCTGAGGAGTTTGGGAGGAACTGCAAAAGGTATGGATGAGAAATGACAAGTAAAATTGAAAAATTATGTTTCAGCCAGATTATAGACAGCCTTGATTGCTTGGCTGAAAACAATGCCTCATTCAGGAGGCCATGGGAAGTCAGGGAAGATTTTTTAGCACAAGCCTTCTTATTTGTCCCCAGTATCACATATCAGAGTACTGAGCGTGCACAAAGCTCTCACTAAACATTGAATGAGTGAATAAATGATCAAAGCTTTAGAAAGCCATATGAATCAGAAAGTCCTGTGGTGGCTGGATTGCAGAGAGTGCCTGGTGGCCAGAAGGCCAGTGAGGAGACTGTTAACAGCCGTCCAAGCCGGGAGCAGGCTCGTGCCCACACCAGTGGGGACTGGGGCGCAAGACAGGAAGCTGATGAACAGACAGTTTGAGAATCTTGGAAAGCGTGAGAATTCTTCAAGAACGTGGATTACTCTTATGATCAGAAAAAGTATTATTAGGAGAAGAAACAAGAAGTGCGACCACCCATGCTTTTGTGGTTTTAACTTACTCTCGTGGAGATGGAGAGCTTCTGGCAAGCAGCAGTTTTTCTGTCCTTGCGTATCCCTGCTGCCCAGCCAAGGGCCTGCCATAGAATAGGCAGTGTTTGTGGAATTAATTGTTGAATGATGAATATGCTACCATTCTCTGTTTACTGGAATGGCATTATTAAGTCATCGCTCAGCCTTTTCTTCTCCAAATTAAATAGCCCATATTATTTTAATTTATCCCAGAGCATTTTAAGCAGACACCATTTGCCAAGCCTCATGTATCTTTATGTGTTAAGCTGCTTTTTCCTCCCCAGGTTCAAGGGCAGACGGAGTTTTTGAGGAGGATTCACAGATTGACATAGCTACAGTACAGGATATGCTTAGCAGCCACCATTACAAGTCATTCAAAGTCAGCATGATCCACAGACTACGATTCACAACTGATGTCCAGTTAGGTAAGTGCATGAACTAATGATGGACCTGACCCTTTGTATCAGTGGTCAGCGTGGAAATAGGGAATGAAACAACATCCAACTTTTATGTGACCTGAATGACTAACGGTAATTTGTTTTCAGAGAAAATGTTTAAACAGTGAAATATAAAGTACCTCCTTGTCCCCACCTGAGTGCTCTGTCTTGTCTTCTTTTTTATGAAGCAGAAGATTAGAAATAGAACTAACTTGAGACTCTTTTCAAACTGATTGACTTCTGTGAAGTTCCATAATTCTTATCATTCTGTAATTCTCTTACATGCTATCCTTAGAACTGCTCTGTAGCTTTGCCACTTGCCTTTTTTTGCTCAGGTGAATTCATTGCTTATTCATTCATGCCTTTTATTCAGGAAGCTTTTTAGTGATCTTGGAAGTTATATTTGGATCCTCACCAAATAATCCAGAATTAACTTTCAATTAATATTTGGGATTAATTTGTTCCAATTAAGTGCTAAATTTCTGTTTTGACTTACACATAACAGGAGTAGAAAAAGTGTCATCGTAGTCAATATTACATCAGCAGCCCGGCTGTCATTTACAGGGACCTGCTGTGTAGTAGGCCCTGTGCTAAGTGCTTTACGTACATTTCTGAACTACCTAAAAGGTAGGTATTTTGTACCTTCCCCACCTAGCAAAGAAGGTAGATGAGGTGCCAGAGAGGTGACGTCTCGTGCCCAAGCTCACACAGCAGGTAGGTGGTGGTGTCAGGAGCAGAACACTGGTCTGGCCCACTCAAGTGCATCTGCTCCCTAAGAAAGGACACTGGGAGGAGTGGGGAGCAGTTACGGATGCCAGGCTTAGGGAGCTGACCTGCACCCTGGCTCTGCCACCTGCCTCTGCCACACCGCCCCTTCCCAGGCCTCGTCTGCTTGTGTGTGAAGGGAGGAAGTTTGCACGCCAACTCTGAGGCCCACTAATTATAGGTTTCTCACAGATGCTCTGTACGTGTCTCATAATAAAGTCTTTTGCAGTTTTGGTGTTCGTTTGGCTAATTTGTAATAAGCCTCAAAAATCTTCGAATTAAAAAAAACCTCTTCAGATATTCCTCCCCACCCTGACTGGCTGGAGCTTGAAGCTCACGGACAGGACAGCTGAGTAAGTCAGAGAGGGGCATCAGGCTCACAGCAGCTCTGAGTCGTGGCTCTGCCGGAAGTCGGCTGCGTTAGGCAAATGTCTTCATCTTGCCGAGCCTCGATTCCGTCCTGTCTGCATGGGAGTATCAGTAGCACCAAATTCTTCAGATTGCCTTGGGGGGCAAGTCAGATAGGCCATGTGAAGCACTTAGCACGGGGCCTGGCGGGTGGCAGACCTCCTGTAAATGAGAGCTGTTAATGGAACACGCAGAGGACAGACTCTGGAGCTAGAAGCCAGGGTTCAAACCCTGGCTCATTTATTAGCTGCATCACCACAGGCAAATGGTTCAGAGCCTCAGTTTCCTCATTGGTAAAGTGAAGACAATAGTCCCTGTCTCATAGATGTGGTACTTAAGGGAATGAAATGTCCTCACACATGCAGAATACTGAGGAAGGCACCTGGCACGTAGCAAGGCCTCAGTAAACACCAGCTGCTAGGATGATGGTGATTCTAACAGACGGACCTGATGAATTAGCACCCAGGAACTTTGAACCAAACCATAGAACCCACCTTTTTTCTCCTTTCTGGGCCTGTTTCAGCCTCCTCACAAAAACAAATAAAATGCTAAATATCTAAAATGGTTTTAAAAAAATGCTTATTTTTAATGTTGATTCTTAAAACATAGAAATCCCTGGTGTCTTTCTTCCTGGGGCTGCTTTTCCTGGTTCTTCTCATACAAATAAAAATAATGAGGCTGTTCAAAAAGAAGCCAGATTCAAAAAAAGGGGGAAAGATCCATACTCTATTATTCTACTATATAACATTCAAAAATACACAAAAACAGTGTTGGTGCTATAGTGGTAAACGTAACTGCCTTCCAAAATTACACAATAATCTATTGTGTGGAAGTAATGATGGTGGTTATCTAGGGGGAGAGGAGGCTGTAGTGACTGCAGGGGAGTCTTAGGACGCTGGTAGGTTTCGTTTCTTGATCTGGGCACTGATTTGATTACGTGAGTGTGTAGACTTTGTGGAAAAATCAAGTTATAGATATTCTTAGGACTCATGCACTTTCTCTTGTATATTTCTAATAAAAGTTCACTAAAATAAGAATTCTACTCAGACATCTAGTTTGTGTTTGCCTGCAGTACCTTCCCAGTAACAAAGGAGTGAGTCTAGTTTTAAGAAACCCAGTAAGTAGCCTGGCTGCAGCCAGGGTACAAGGCGGGGATTTTCCCAGGTGAGCATCATCAGTAAGTCCACGGATTCCCGAGGTAAAAAAACAATGCTTTGGAAAGATAACCAAGATCGTGGGCTTCTTTCCCACACATTTTTCCAAAGGCAAAAAAGCCAAATTTTAATTCATCAGATTCTGACGTGTATATTCACTTAAAGGAAGAGGCCCACCAAAGGATCTGTGGGAAGAGCCCTAGTCTGTAGTCAGGACTGGGTTTAAATCCTGCATTAGCACTTACATGCAGTGTCACCTTGGACAAGTCCCTTCTCTTTTCAGTCTTAGTTTTTGTCATCTATAGAATGGGAATTATAACATTTACCTTTCAAGATAGAAAAAAAAGTGTCTGGCCTATAGAAGCTCTATTCTGAACAGAGGCTGGCTTCTCTTAGTGTTGCTAGTATCGTCACTGTTCCCTGTTTTGCCTATGGCTTTCTGTCCTGTCCACCATCTTGAAATTAACCACGTCAGTCAGATTAGGTAGTGGCGCTCTTGGCCAAGTCTCACTTGTAGCTACAGTGGAGGAGACTTGTCAGGTAGAAATGGATGATGACAGTGATGCAGGTATCTCTCCCTAGAGCAGTAGTTCTCAGAAGTGTGTCTAGAAGCCAGGTCTCAGTCACCTCTGGATGTTTCCAGTGGTACACATGGCACCCTCTGGTGGAGAGACATGCTCCAAGGAGCTTCTGAACAGTCAGGTGCTGCCAGAATATGTGTTTCAATTATGAATCTAAGCTCAATCTTTAGCATGATAAACAGAAATTTCATTAATTAGTCCTAAGGAATTTTGTGACAGTCACAGAAACCGTGCCCATGAGTACTATACCATGCAGGAAAGAAAGCTCATTTCCTGTTGCCATGTAGATGAGTTCCGTATGTGACTTTAGAACCCCTCTCCCTCCTTGCAAAGCAGGTAACACCCTTTCATTTTAACAGTAACAGCAACAAAAACCTGCAGAGTGATCCAGGAATTCTTTCTTTCCAAAACTGAATCTACCGTAAAGTACAGGGCAGCAAACAACGCACCTTTTACGAGCATTTGAGTGAGCAGCTGGATTCTGAGATCAGTAAATAATTTATTTTATTTCAACTGACTAGCCAGGTGCTTCAGATCTTTCCTGACACTGATGGATGGTCTCCTCCACTCATCCATCCTGTGTCAGTCAGAGCAGAGATTTCACTTGCCCCCTGTGGCAGGTTCTTCTAAGTGGTAAGTGTCTGTGTGCGGCATTTCCCCAGCAGCCCTGCTGATTCCACAGAAAACTGCCCATCCACTCTGAGTCCGTGGTATGTAGGAGCACACGGCGGTGGCAGCGAGCAGCATTCCCCAGCTCCTCGGGGCCCTCACAGCTGCTTCTCAGGGTAGACGTGGCCCATGCTCCCATTTGACCATCTGCCATCTGCTTCTGAGAAAGTCAGGCAGGGAGGGACTCAAACTCGGATCTGCAAGACCCAAACTTAGACTGATTTTCCACCAGACTTTTCTGTGATTGAAAAACTTTATTGGAGTCCATTAGTGAAACTTATGGCAAAGACCTGATCTTTTTCAATAATATTAACATGAAGAATTACAGTTTTTGAAAGTGGTTATTTATCAAGTGCTCGTTGCTATGTGCCAGGCACTTTGCTGATCACTCTTCTATTCTTGTCTCCTGTAATCATATCACTATTATTGGATAGTACTGATACTATCTCCATTTTTTATATGAGGAAACTAGGATATAGGGAACAATTACTTGTTAAGTAATGAAGCTGGGATCAGAACCCAAGACTGCCTAAGGCTGAGTCCTGCACCTAACTACTGTATTATGCCCTGAATGCAAATGGCCATTGCACTCATGCTCTATAGTTCTAGGACAGTTTGCAGTATACGGTGAACTTTCACCCCATCACCTTATTTAATCCACACAGAACACTGATGATACTACTCCCATTTCTTGACTCAAAAAAAAACAAGGCTTGGAGAAATAAGTGAAGTAATGTGATGTGTACAGAGAATTTAGTGTTTACTGGCACACAGCTATTACTACTTTAATAAGCACTAACTTTCTTTCCCTCCCTCCCAGCCATCAGGATATACAGTGGGATATCCAGTCCCAGTTCCAGTCCCAGTAACAGAACTGGGACTGAAGCCCAGTCCCGTACAACAGACCCAATCCATCAAGCCATGGATGCCTCAGTCATTAATAACTCGCCTTCACAAAGGAAGTGATTACTTGTTGTTGGCCAGTTCCAAAAATTCTGCACATCCCCACTCTTGTCCCTGCCCTTGCATCTGGAGGTCACGTCAGTGTAGCACGTGCGCTGCTCTTCCATCCTCCGTTCACCTCATTTGTCAGTCCCTGTACTTCTTCCCTCTGGGCCCAGACCTGACCTCAGAACCCTTTCTAACACAGCCCTCTAAGCAATTCCTAGCAGTCAGTTGAAGTTGGTTCTTAAGGTGAAGTCTGTTCACCATCCCTGCTCTGTCAGCCTGGAAAGTTTACCACACAAAACCATCATGCCTAACCATCCCGTGATTTCTCAAAAACCTTCTGGGAATATTTCATCTTGTCTGCTTCCTCTCTGTGTTGGGCCTGAAAGTACTGGTACCCTTAAGTGTAGACTTTTCTTGAGCTTATACCAAGTTGAGGTCATTTCCATTAGCATGATCTCCC